TGCGTTTTTTGCATTTTTATTGCTTCTGTCTTTAGAAGCAGCGAAGAATCATGTCTCACATTCTTCATTTGGGGTTTGTTCATTTTGTTTCATTTTTGATATCATGTAAGATTTGCCTGAATCTGCATCGTCTGCATGGACACAAAGAACTGGTATCTATAGGAACTAACTGATAATCGTTGGGAAAAGCTGACTAATGGCTCATGCAGAAACGTTATCCTGAATATTAAACATCCTTAAATGGGTTTTAAGAATCCAAATGCTGGAAGATAATGCCATGCTGTGGGCAGGGCTGGGTGCTGGCAAAATGCTGGTAGTGTATCTGTGTTGGAAGAGCCGCACAGACACCCAGCTCCATGGGCAGCGACTGGGGCTGGAGAGCACAGCACGGTGCCAGCACGAGAACCTTCTCGTCATCGATCAGACTTCTGGGTAGGAAAAAGATACTAAAGCAAGAGTGACTTTAGGGAGAGGGAGTTAGGTATTATAGGATAAAAGAACCTTTTGTTTGGCTGATCTTTGCCATGGCAGAATATAGTGGCCCGGTTAAATCTGCTTTGTGTGTTGGCACTGCAAGTTTTTAAAGATGGTCAAAGGCAGCTGCAGCCAATTGTATTTGCACAGATAAGCTGGGGACAAATAAGTAAGCTCAGAAAATCTGGCTAGATTTATCTTCAAAGCATTTTCAAGCAGCTAACTGAAAATTATCCAAGCCGCCTTCCTGATTTCTTGCATATTATTGCATTAATTTGCCAGCGAATGGGAAGTGCTTGGAAAACATACAAAGGATTTGTGAGTGCCGAGCTTTACTACTTGGAATTTGTTTAATTATAAATGTATCCTTGCTCTTGTGATAATTTCAAGACAGTTTCTACTGCTCGCTTCCGTGCTTCAGACTCCAGTGGGACTAATGATGTGAAAACACGTCTTTGACACGAGGGGTGGGCCAGGGTGATCCTGTCGCCCTCCGTTCCGATCCCTGCAGCACTGACAGCGAGCACAGTGTTGGATGTACTATCAGGTGGCTGCTCTTGAGGTGCGTTTCTCATTCCTGAAACGTTTCCTTGTGTGCAGGACAATGCTGTTCCTGTAGGAATTGCTCATGAAAGGCTCCAGGCTGGTCCTGATGCTGCTCCCAGCAATAGCAGCATCCTCTGGATTGCTGAACCAAAGGGATGCGTTTTAAAAGCGTGCTAAAAAATGCAAGGTTCACACTTCGTGTGAGCTGAGTAAAGTTCCTCAGCTGCCAGGAGAACAATTTGGTGTTGCACATGAACCACCCGATCACCCCGCGCTTTCTTTTATCTCCCTTTTGACTGAACGAGCGCCCCGTTCACAGGACTGGGATGTGGATTTATCTCACTTCTGGGAGCCTTTCTCGTTCCTAACCCAGTGAGTGGATTACGCTTGATCCGTATGGTGTTTATCAGCCACGACAGAAGTAATACTGGTAATCCTCTGAAGCCAAACTATCCAAGAAAAATGCAGTATGTCTTACTGAGAGAAATTAAATGTACAAACCCAGATGAATTGGTCCCTTTCTGGAGTAAGAGATGGGCTTGGTACTTGGATCTGGACTTTTCCCAAAGTCAGAAGGTCAGGTTCACCCGCACCTTGGGTAGAATAACTGAGAGCAGCTGGCACAGCCACCGAGCATCACCAGGGCTGCTCCTCCCTCATTTACAGTACGTTTTCTGATCATTTTTTAATCCCCTGTTCCTGTTCCTTAGCAAATATCTCCATATATGCCATAGAATTGGAAAAATGATTAAGTCTGCCCATAAACCGTAAACTGCGCTCAGCTATGGAAAGCAGAAGTTATGAATAGATGTTATTTGCTGCAATAATACCCTATAAAAGTCAAAAACCATAGAGTGAAAGGGAAGATTAACTATTATTGGGCTTGCTTCAGCAAATGGGATTATTTTGCATGTCTGTTATGAGTTAATTTATAACATTAATCTAATAGCAGTCTCCTCAGCAGAGATGCAAAATATTTTTAATTGGTCCCGTGACTTTTTAAATGATCACCTGATGAAAACCTTGTAAGTTTTACTATTGATTGAATGCTAAATATTGGGGGGAGGAGGGGGCAGTCTTTACAAATTTCATCACGAAATACAAATCATATGCTTTCAGTGCCTTGCTACTTTTGTTGTGTTGACTCGGTGCTGTCGGCAGCCTGGAACCAGCTCTACAGCTGAAAAAAATTGAGCTAAAATCTTGCAGCAAAACGAGTAAATCTATAGCTGAGAGATAATAGCATTGGGACTGATTCAATGTAAGCAAGAAATCACCAGCTGAGCCATTAAAAGCGGAGATGAATGGGAAGCAATAAACGGATGGCTCGGATGAATAAGAATGATTAGGAAGTGTGCAAAGCTAGTTGGGTTTTTTTTTCCCTAAAGATTATATTTTGTCCTCTGAAGTGGCATATGGCTCCTCTGAAAGCTAATATTCCCAGTGAACGTGTCACCGCCAGTTTAGAAATGCTCTGAGAGATCAAAAGCATCTTGGTGGCACCAGGCGGGAACGGGCTTCCTGCCCAGAGCACCTGGGTACAAGTCATTAGCCCAGGTCCGTCGGGAGATGGCCAGGACGTGGGCAGTGGGGGCAGAGAAGGCTTCTGTGTGCAGGGAAACATCTGCTGTTTGGAGGAAGGAATGGTGGCTTGCTTGGAAATGTTTCTCCCTGTGTTCACTGCTAAGTAGGACTTAGGGTCACCAACGTCAAAGAGGAGGATGATGTGGTCACCTAGGTCCGGTGGCCCAGACTCCTGCTGCTTCAAGGAAAATAAAACTCAAATGAAAAGCTGTAATCTCTTTCCTGACTCATGAAATATCAAAATATCAATATATATTCAAAGTATCAAAGGAGATGTCCCAGTGCTGGTAATGAGGCAGAAGAAGTGTTTCCTCCAGGATGGAGATGTGACAGCTGGGGAGCTCTCAGCTCCTGGGTGCATCAGTTAACTAACAGAAATGGGCTTTTTCTATCTACTGCAATCAGCAATAGCAAGATCAACCTTCTTTACAGGTGCACATGGAACATCAGACTTATGTTTGATAGGAGAAGCACGCAGCTGAGGTCAGCCGGCTGCCGTGCAGGAGGCACTTTTGATTTACACTGGGGTAACAGGACCAGTTCTACCCCTCAGAGCCTGATCCAACACCTAATAATCACTTCTGACTTTAACAGAGTCAGCGTGCTAAAGCACTCTTATTTATTGTTTCCAATATTGCGTTCGAAGATGAGAAAATAGATTTAGAGCTGTTAGAGTCATAAGGACATTAGAGAGACAAAAAAAAAGTGGGAAAAATATAGTCTTGCATCCAAGGCGTTCTCTTTTTATGCCAGCGCATCACAGCAGTCTGTCAGAAATTCAGCAGAATTTCAACGCCTGCTGTTAGTTTTTGCATTTACACGTCAAAGTTATCCCACACTGTACTCAGCCAGCTGAAGTAGAAGTTACTTGGAGGAGGAGAAGAGGACCTGAAGAGCAGTGTCCTTCCGACTGCCAGGCTCACCCTGCCCCCGCACTATCATCAAATTCCTACTAAAATCTGGGATCCTGAAATATTCTGTATGCTCTGCTCCCCAGATGAGGCAATTAAGCTTAATTATTTGCAAATGAAAGGTGGATCTTATTTAACTTACCTTGAGGACCAGAGCTGCTGTGGCACTGCTGCCCTGGCTGGTGCAGGTGCTCTGTGCTCTGCCCTGCGGTGGAAGCAGGACCCTGGTGCTGCTCTAAGCATCACCTTCTGCCGAGTCCTCCTGCCCTGGTGCAGGGAACAGCATCAGTGCACGTGCTCTCCATTATCTACCAAGCAAATGTCAATATGTTTTTCCAGCAACACAAAGACAAGTATTAATTTATTCACCGGAGGCTGCAGTATTCCCAGGCTCCAGCAATCTGAACATGGTTTGTTTTATTGGGAAAACAAGGGCTCATTTTTTCCCATTCCGTGCTGATGGGGCTGATTGCCATCTCAAGAGGAACGTTTTTATAGGAACCTCTCAAACAGATATTGGGGGGAAAAAATACTAGGAAACAGGATGCTTTAAGGATGCTTACTAATAAAACGGTTCTTGTCTTGCATTTCTTGCATATTTAAGACCAGCGTTCAAAGGAGAACCTTATTGGTTTTGTATTTGTGGTTCAGTCAAGGCATTTAAGAAAAAAATACTCTTGGTTGCTGGCGTGATCAGGTGCTGCAGTGCACAGGAACTGGTGGAAAGAAGGCAGACTGCATGGGTAATCAGGTTAGAGTCAGCTGCCCCTGCCCTCCAGCTCGCTCTGAAACAGCGTGTAGTCTAATTAGTTATAGAAGGGGTTTTACGGAATAGTTGTAAACAGATCTGAGGGCTTGGAATAAAATCAATCTGACTGTGGAAGCTTTTCGGGATAATTATAAACTGTTATTGGCAGAGTGTGAAAGGGAGAGCAAAGGACTTTTAACAGTGGGAAACTTGGAGCTGTGCACGCTGTTCCCTGCGGGGGGAAGGAGGAGGACTGGGGTGTGAAGTTCCGGCATCTAACCAGGGTGTCTTTGAGAGGAGGGATAAGGGACTTCAGCTGGTAGGGATGCTGCCCTCAGAGGTGTTTTTTTTTTTTTTTTTTTTTTTTTAATGCTTTTGGATGTTTTGGGGTTTTCTGCAATATTAATGATGCCCCAATAGCCGAGGTACCAGCCCTCCCCATGGCGGAGGGCACGCATCCCGCTGAGCTGCACAATGAAACGCTAATACCTGTTGAAAAACCAGAAAGCATGTTTGAAGGCTGAGGGCACAGTTTTGTGTAAAGGCATCTGTAAATATTCTGTCTTCACAGATCGCGATGGTCCTGGCTCAGACCTTCACCATCTCCCTACTGACGTAAGCGCCGAAAATCCCATCTCCTGGGTAGGCAGGTCCTTGTTCCCCCACGAAGCCACCTTGGCTGCCAGCCTCA